AAAATTATTCTTCCTCCCGAATTTATCTTATAATAAATATACTCTCCTTCCGGAGGTACATAAGAAAATGTCCTCCTTTCTTGTGGAGCTGACCGAACGCCTCAGCAGGATAGATGCATCTATGGATCGTGTCGCACGTCTCTCGGCAGTGTACACGACACTCTGGATCGGGCCGTATGTCCTCGACAGAAATCGTGCTTAATAATAATAATTACACGATAATTTAATAGTTATTTCAAGCTTGCGTACTAATTGATAAATTTGAGAATCCTTCGAATTTAATGAATTATTATGCCTGCTTGTTGAGGAATTAATTGTTATTCCTGTAAATGAGATTTAATTAATAAATTAAAAATTATTTGAATTTAAGGAATTTAATTAATATATTGAGAATTGTTACATTTGAAGGAATTTGATTATTCCCGCTGGTTAAATAAATTCTGTGAATCATGCTGATTTAAATATTCTAGTTGTATTTCAATTATTATTATTGACCCATAGTGAGTGTCAAAGTCGGCCATCTCGTTTCTACCACTTCGTGATTAGGCTTGATACTTGCTGGGTACACATTGTTTACGTACTCATACTACACTTGCTGCACTTTTTGTGCAGGACCTAAGGCAAGTACTAGTGGGGGACCTATCGTCTTACACCCACGTTATCCAGGGGCATAGTGGTGAGCTGCCTTTCTGAGCCGTTCTGCGGCTACTATTGTCTCTCCTTGTATTTTTCATTCTGTCTATTTTTATTTCAGACAGTATTTGAGGCTTTGAATAATCTACTAGATGCTCATACACTTGTGACACAAGGTCTTGGAACACACATTGGTAGAATTTGGTGTTTTATTATTTTCTTGGCTTTAAATTTTGTCAATATATGCTTAATTTATTAAGTTAGTTTGTCTAGCTGTAGTGTTGGGCGCCATCACGACCTATAGGTGAAATTGGGTCGTGACAGTTATTTTCTTTTGTAGTTTGATTTTATTTTTATTTTGGTTTTATTCTTTGTTGGTGTGTTAAAGAACATGCAATATTCTATTGGTACGTCTAAATATTCAAGTCGCATTATTATATTAGTGTCAGTAATTTTTAGAAAAGTAAATTATTCTTTACAAAGTTCATAGAAAAGAAGAATGCTCAATTGTCACAACGGTGGAAGGTGGTCGATGAAAAGATCACCTTTTGGAGAAATTGATTGAACAAATTGTGAGCGAATGCACTTTATCGGGAGTATAAATATTTGAAAGATATCAAAAGATAAAACGACTGTTGTTAACCAGATCTCTTTATTTTTGTTGAGATAAATAATTTGCTAAACAAATCTCTTAAGAATGGGCAACTTAGCTTGACATAGATTTGTCTCATAAATTAGGATGAATATTAGGTTCAAACCATTCTTGTAAAGTTTTTAATTCAAGTATAATGCAACTTAAATGTATTATGAGAAAGTGAGGACAACAGAAAATATACCTGTGGTGTTGAAGTATAACAGCAACTCCGAACCTGATCATATTGACTTCCACAATTTTGTGTTCAATGGGGTCAAAAAAATATCTAGAAAAAAAAAAATACACGATACCTTCATCTAGAGATCGATGCGCAAGTGAAGAGGAAAAAGTTTGGATATAGTAACTTTTGCTTCTTACACAAGATCTTTTAGCAGTAATCGGAAATTAGTGTAGGAAAACCAACAATAAACGTTTCAAAAAGGCTGCGGTTCATTTTTTTCCTCTAAAGACGTGTTGGTTCTTATGATATATAAGAGAAGGGAAAAATAGGAGAAGTTTTTATACATTTATATTTATTAGTAGAATGTTTAAGCTATTTAGAAGGGTATTTTAGTAATTCAACTTTTAACTTTTGAGGTTTATATTTTTATAATAATATAGATTAGTTACTTTAGCCCGCCCGGGCCCAATTCCAAAAGTTAAAGCTTGCAAGAGTATTTGAAATCAAAAGAAATAATTATTTTCTTACTTTGGACTTCTATTGTATTTTAAAAATATATATTCCTATAAGTTTTTGAAGTCCAACTGAGCCTTAGTACCTGTCAATTTTTTTTTTAATTTTTATTTGAGGTAATTTAGCAAGTGAAACGTTAGATGTTCAACATTTTTTTTGGTAAGTGATTCTACTAATGGAAAAAATCTTATGATATTTATAGTGTGTTGTCGTAAAGATAAGTTGATTAGACAATTTGATATAAAAAAGGACAGGCTGATAGGCCAATATAGTGCATGTAAGTTTTTCCAATGGTACTTAAAAGTTTTTAAAATTTCATATTTGAAATTTAACTTTAAATCGTTTCGATTTAATTTTTCACTCTAGTTTGATTTTTAAAATTGTCTTGAAATAACCTTTACCCCACAAAAATAGAGGTAAAAACTGCATACATCCTACCTTTTTCAGATTTCACTTTGTGGGATTACACTGATATATCGTTGATGTTGTACTCCTAATTGTACATTCCTTCTCAACTTCCCTCCGAAAGAAATATATTTCGGTTCAAGAAAGTTTAAGTTTTTTCTTATTCTCACTAAGTGATCATTTTGATTTATGAAAGCTTGCACAAAAATAATCTTACATAATATTTATAATAGGCTGGTAAATGTATCTAATATTCTAATTTCTTTTCTAAAATTTTATTTACCAAGCATTTGCTACTATCACCATATAAAGACTCTTTAGAATTGAAATTATTGAACATCATTGTAAAAGATTTGTAAAATAATTTGTTAATTTTTTTACAAATTAATAATTTGATCACTTTAAAAAGACACCATGCAGCGGGTATATAGTATTAAAGCTGTAATGGGGCCCATGAGTTTATAGGAGAATTCAAACTAATGCAAAGGAAACCAGACTACCAGAGAGGTCTCAAATGTGAAAGGTAAATGGGACCCACATGTAGAAAAATTTTGCGGAACAGAAGCACAAGTTCAAATGTAGTAATGGCTTTCTTGTCCTGTTGTAGATCGTACATTCATAAAACAAAATGGTACAACATTCTTAGAGCACTGAAACCATAAGATACCCTAATTTCCCAAAATACCCCCGTCAATACCGTCCAAAATTAAGCGTGAAATTCAAAGGGTATTTTTGTCAATTCACCTGGACGACCCTAAGCTCCCCTCTTAGCCTCTTCTATAATAATAATAGTAATATATATATAACAACCATATAGAATCTTTAAGGTTACTAATAATAATTCTAAAAATATGCACACAATCTTTTTTATTGCACAAAATTTCTATTTTGCATAATACATAAGATTTGAAGATTTGCACCTGATATCTTTTCCATTGGACAAATGCCAAAAAATATTTAAATAGATGATTTAACTGTTAAGCTCTTAGATTGTCTTTAAGTGAAAGTTATTGGACATCTTTTTGCTGAAAATTTGGGACGAATCTTCGTCAATTCATGTGTTATATCGCTAGTAAGAGAATGAAATCTAAGAAACAAGCTACAATTACAAAGGTCTTCTATTAATCTTGAAAGAATTTATTTTTCTAAGTAGCTTTAAATGTGTGCCTTAGAGTTTAAATCTTTATCATTTAGTTATGAATTTATTAATAATATACTAGCTTCTTCAATATTTAACTAGTGAAATATGCATATTTTTTGAGATTTTAAATTTGAATATTTTTTATATTTTTTATTTGTAATATTAGAAAAGGAAAAATAATTGATAATTTGAATAATTTTTATCTATAACGGCCAAAAAATATTTAAACGCCAAATGCTGTTATAAGTGTATAACAACTATTCACTATAAAAGCCAAAAAATATCAGAACAAACGAAGTTGTTATAGAAAGGATTGACCGTACGTGTTGTGATTTGAATTTTAATTTGAGATTTTCGGTTGATATTCATATATACAGTACCCTATCGACTAATTAAAGAATGCATATTTTACTTTATTGCACCGTGCATTCAACTTGGATATGAAATGTTTTTTATATTATTCATTTTACCTATTTATTTAATTTTTTTATAAATTACTACTTTCAAAATAGTAATTAAAAGATACTTCAAATTTTAAATTTGGTCAATAAAATAGAATGAAATTACAGTATAATGATTACAATTCACACCTTTCACATAGGCGCCCTCTCTTTGAAAGAAAAAGTGTAAAAAGATTTATGCATGATCATTTTTTTCTATTCAATTTTTTTTTTTTGGAGAGTTATATTGAATCATTACCCCCTATATGTGTGAACAGCTTTGAAAGCGTACGTAGACGTCTCCGGAGAAATTAAAAAATAGTCAGATTTATAAGTGGTAATTGAAAAATAGTCACAATTTCAAAAGTAATCGAAATTTAGCCATTTTTTATGTAAAGATAAATCTGAACGAAAATACTATTTAAAATCCGAAAAATATTCCAACACAATATACTGGAGTTCCAGTATAATATACCGGTCCAACATAATATGCTGGAAGTTCATACACAGATGCACCAATCTCCAGTATATTATGTTGGATCGGTCTGTATTGTAACAAAATAGTAGTTATTTTTCAATGACTTTGCAAACGGTAGCTATTTTTAAATTACCAGTCCGAAAACTGGTTAATCCGTGCTATTTTTACCTCCTTTTAATCCTCCAACCAAAGTTTTGGCATAGAATTATGCCACGAATAGAGGTGTCAATGTAGCCCAATTTAAATCTCTCTCCAATAAACCACCTCCTTTACCGGGAAACATGTCATAAATGAATAGGCAAATAGTATAAAAAGTTGCCTAATACTCGTGTATCACCTATTTATACATGTCTTCAGGTTCGAAGCATATCAGCCTGATAGCCTCTCATATAATTCTTCTTTAGTACAGTATTTATTAGCATTCAGACCAAACACGTAAGATCCACAAACCATAATAGTTCATCACTGAGACAAAAAAGTCTTCCCTTAATGTTGGCAGAAGTAAATGAAAACGCAGATCTTTGACGAACGGAACAAGGGTATGTTGGACAATCATAGAGAAATACGGTCCAAGATATGAACTTAGAACACTTCCGCAGTATTTCCACTTCCATATATATGAATTATGATATAAGTGTTTCCTCTACATTCACAGTGGCATGAACGAATTTTGACGAGTTAAAGAATTGTATGCCTCGTAAAGAATAGAAGAGTATAAAACTATGCTAATAACCGAGCTGGTACAAATGTTTTCTACAAAATGCCACCAAAACCTGTTGCTACAAAATCACACCACTCAAAACAGACATCCAGTCCCTTCATCGTGCCAATTGGGCAATACGTTGAGAACCTGGAATGAAAAGTTAAAATTTCGGTCAAGCGGCCACGGAATGCATGCTTTTTTGGCAGAACTTCTACAAGTTGTAATTGGCACTGGACCACAGCAATGCATATCATGTAGTCAAAAGAAAAAAAGAATTCTATCTTAACCAGCTAAACACAGACAAGAAGTCAAACACTCATTGCTCATTGTGACTGGAACTTGCCCATAAGGTCATCATCTGCTTTATCACATCCAGAATCAGGTGAAATATAGTATAAGTGTAATCAAATAATTGACTTTTATCATGCAAGTGAAAAACTGCAGAACACAATTATTCTATCTTTCCAGATGGCACACACCACACTTCCCAGAATATAAGTAGCACAATTTCTGGTTACGCACACATGAATCACAAGACTGTCCAAATTCTAGAAAAAAAGACATGGTTTCTCCAATTTTTCTTGCGTATAGCTCAAGAAGGTAGAACAACAAGATTTAGACGTACCGAATCTACATAGGCACCAGTCAAGTAGATGAAATGATGTGTATTTAACACAATAGAAATGGAAAACTAGATGTGACTTGAAGCACCCCAATCAAGAAGACACATAGATAAGAACTTTTTATCAGACATGACTTGCATGAAATTACACTTGATGCAGAAAATTCAATTCTCACAGTAGGAATGGATTACATACAGCTGGAACCAACTCTCTTCACTGAACCTAGTGACGTGGTGTAAGCACTGCAAAAAGAAGAAAAGCAAAAGAATGAGAGAAAAGTGACATAAATTTAAAGTTAGTTCAAAACAAAAGGCACAAATAGGGACAATCTGAGAAGGAAAACAGGTTGAAGAAGTGAACTGTCAAACTTATGCCAAGAAACAAATGAATGCCAAATGCTAAAGCTGAAAAATATTAGCCAGTGCTGGAATTTTTACTTATAGCAACATTTCAACTTAAATAATGAAAATGGACTACTACTGCTTGCAGCACCTTAAAAGCTTGAAAGACATTCTTAAACTTCCTGACATGAAGAAGAGAAGACTCCAAAATTGTTTAGTATTTTTTTAGTATTGGCAATATGCTTTCTCGAAGGAAGGGCGATTGTTTAAATTGCTTCAAGCAGTCAAGATTAACGAAAACAAAGAAAACATGCTTTATTAGGGAGTGAGGGTGATTGTTTAAATTGCTTCAAGCAGTTAAGATTAACTAAAACAAGGAGGCATAAAAGAAAAAAGAGAAGAATTTGGAAGGTATGGGAGCCGAATGCAGCAGCTAATAGAAATTCAATTAATCACCAGCAACAAAATTAGGATTTTTACACCGGCCCAACCAATTGCTTTTAGGCTGACGGTTTTCCTTCAGTATTCGTACCCCACTCTTCGTCAACCTCGTTTCCATTGACGAGTACTGCACCATCAGTAGAGTCAGCATCAACCACAACAGCATCTTCTTGGCTCTCTTGTTGATTGTCATCTTGCTCATGTTCTTGCACCTCATCACCATTCTGTTCCACAACCTGGAGAGTTTAAACAAGGCAGAAAATCATTTTACACTTAGCATTTACCAACAACGATTAGTCGTATAAGCTGCTTGTATGAAAGCTATCAACTACCCTCGAGTGTAGGAATATCTTTAGATGTTTGAAATACAAAATAGTATGACACACTAGTTAATTCTCAGCTTCCTATAAAAAAATGCTGTAAATGCAAACTGTGCTTTTTACTTCTTTCTTCTATCAAAAAGATCGCATATAGTAAATGAATCCTCGTAAGAGACAAATAGAAACATGTCCATCTTATACCTCATGCTCCATATCTCCATTTTCAAGGGGTTCTTCATCCATTCTCATGTTGCTGAAAGCTTCTACAAGGTTGGTAGCTGGTCTATCAGCAAAATTTCCATAATCTGCTGCTGGTGGGTACACACCCCTACAGAAAAATTAGAAAAATAACCATGTTGGTGCAAAATTTTCAAAATGAAATTGTGTGCAATTTAACAATTTCATTTTCAGTTAGGCTCATAACTGGGAACCAGTCCACTCTAGTGTTAAAAATGCCCATCCATTCTTTTTATTTAGAACACAACCCTGTTGTGCTTATACTCTAAACAATAAGAGGAAAGGAGCACAAATAGAAAAAGAGATGTAAAATGTGTTCAAAAAGAGGCTCAAGCACTCATAAACATTAGCAGGTCTGACCAAAGCATTAACATTTTCAAAGAGCCACCAGCATGCGAGCTACAAAAGACCACGCAAAGGGGGAAGAGCTATCTATTTACACCTCTCCTCGGCGACTCTAGCTTCAACAGCATGTGCAATTTGCCAGTGCTCAAACAGGTTGGGATATTCTTCAGGATCAGCCAAAGCTTCTGCTGCTTTCTGGTTAACCTACCAAGCGGAAATCATGCAGAAAACTATGTTCAAAATATGACAAGGACTCCAGCTATATAGTCGCAGATAATTCAGCAGACTGCTATCCTGAAGGAAGCCCAAATATGCTATTAGCATAAATGACTAAGAACCTTAGCCTGCTGTTTTTTTAACTTGCACTCAATTTCACATCTTAAAGTTAAAAAGGATGTATGTATCTAACACAGGGTGTTCTCGTGCCACCATTGGCCTCTCAGGAAAGTCATCAAAAATATTTCTTGTGGCTATTTCACAGAAATTACATATAAATGCAAGCAGAACATGGAAAATAAAACACAACGTTATTATCCAACAATATTTATTTTGATGTCTATAGCAGACAAAGAGTATCAGCTCAAAGAGCTCCAAAGTTTCTTTGCACCATTAACTTAATTGTCAAAAAGAATGATCCCCCCAACACAAAACTGAAGCAATTTCCTTATTTTTAAAAAAGAAAAAGAGGAGAGATTTAAAACTGAGGTAACGTCAGAAAACAAAGAGAAGCTCTGAGCTAGAGAATTGGCAGCTCTGGCGGATTTTTAATTATTTAACAATACATGTAAATCTAAATGCACGCTCGAAACAGAATATCACTGACCTTATTGAGGTCCTTCTTCCAAATAGCAACTATTTCAGACACCTTACTTGGAAGATAAGATCTTGCCATAAATGCAGCCTCAGGTATCCGATTGCTACAAAGAAATTGCAATACAGAATATCATTCCAGTTTTGACAACAAACTGATATGTGGCTACTTCATATACTTAATTATATCAACTTCCCGCCATTTAAGCTTGTTCATGAGTGATTCTTGGATCATATTACTTGCTAATCACTTAATGATGTCATTGATGTATAGCAGTGCAATGAAAGGGAAACAAAGTAAAAACCCCTTCAAAAGAAGAAAAAGAGGGAGAAGAAGAACTCACAAGACCCACGACCGCAGGCAATATGCACCATGATTGTGGTCCAAGGAGATTAAGAAAGCAGGGAGAAACAACATTGAAATCTCGATGGGGTCGAGAAGATTTTGGGCAGACTGTGACCCTGGTCTACACAGTTTTGGATGAAATTTTGAAAGCTCGATAGCTCGACCGCAGTCACTACCCAGCAACCGCAGTCCTTTGAGATTTTGTGGCAAATCTCTTCCAGGGCCGCATGGTCTTTTGTGTTTTTGGATCCAAACCTATAAATAGTCGTCTTCTGGGTTTCTAACCTATGATTGGCTGGAGAACACATTTCGGAGAGCTTTCTTAAAAGCAACACTAAGTTTTGGTATAACCACGCCGCAAGTTTAGAGTTTTTCCAAATTTATTCTTTACAGTCATTTCGATGGCTTGTATCCGCCCTATCTTTGACTTTGCGTTGATGCTTTTCATGGGTTGTAACTAAATCACTATCCAAGGTTATGATGACTCTTACGATGCTAAATACAAATTGATTCTTGGTCATTCTAAGGTAGATTTTATTTATCTTGGTTTGTACCGCTCCTACTAGTCTGGCCAACAAATAGAATCCCATATTAGTATGAATTGGTTGGAAATGTAATTCGACAATAAGGCAGACTGAATAGTGTGGGATTAGCTAATTAATTGATTTAATTAAGTTAACTTGTGATTGAGAAACAGGATATCCTTTCACCCCACATAGCTAATTCAATAAGCTTGAGACCAATATATCAAAATTAGTCTACTAGCATAGGGATATAGCTTGATAGCTTAAATTAGGGTAGACTTGCATATGACTGGAACATTTACATGAGTAAGTAATGTCTCCAAGCTAATAATTGAAACCCAAGGCAATCAAGTAGGAAAGCTTTACCTATTAACTTTTAACAAAATGTGTCAGTTCCAGTTGCAAAATTTAATTGTTTAAATTAGAAATAATTAGTTTAATCCATAACCACCTTAAGTGGTTTTTTGAATCAGCAATAATTGTAATAAACCTAGGACTTAATCATAAATGATCTAGCTCCACATGGGATGATAGTTGAACTCTTGGTACACTTTACTTGCCAACGGCTGCAAATTTTCAATAGGGTACCTTGGGGGTGATCGCTAACCAATATAAAAGGATCTTAAATGAAAATTAAATACCTGTCAACCAACAGCTGAACGCACTCATCCACTTTACCCAAGAGGAACAGGCAAAGAAATGCAACATTGTTTTTCCCATGCTCTTTGGCAAAAGATGCTAGTTTAGTTATTCCTTCAGCATCTCCTAATGAAGAATAAAGCAGCAGTAAACCACTCAAGTCATTTGCATGCTTCAAACATTCCTCTGCCATCTCCAGCTGCAAGATATAAAAATTGCAACGTAGGCAAAGAATCCATGTAAAGAGAACAGAATCCAAGTAAAAAGAACACATGCATTTTACAGAAGAAGAATGACTAGGAGGCAGCACAAATCAAACCACAAACACCCTTTACCACTCAATTAGAAAGAGAAATATTGGCAAAACTTTCACAGATGTACTTTAACTGAAGATTTTTCCCAGCAGAAAAATGGGTATAGGTCAGGAGTTTTCAGCAAAAGAAACTTTCAGAAAACTGACTTGGAAGTTCCTATAAAAATTAAGGAGCTTAAACACTGGCCATTTGTAAAACCTCGTACATTTACTTGTTTTTGGAAATTCAAGTGGTTTTTATTCTCCTTTCTCAGAATTTGTTTTCCCAAAAAAGGGGGGCTCAAGTGGCTGTAAGCATCAGTTACCATTCCAGCAGACATTGCTAGATCACCCAACTGCTTCCATTTGGATTCACTCTGCGCTATTACAGCAATTTCCTGCAAACAAGAAGGGGCACAAGCCCATACTTAAACAACATATGGTTTTTTTCACATAAGTAAGTACAAAGGAAGAGAGAAGAGGCCAAACCACACACTTTCACGAGTTAGGAGCCCTTACCTTCGCAATCTCTAATTTACCCAACTGTATGGCAAGTTCAAATCTGTAGTCAGGGTCAGTTGCAACTTCCAATGCTTCCGAAATCATTCCTCGTGATTCCAAGAAACGAGCAACACTATAGGGAACATTTGATCACAACTTAGGAACCTTGATGAATCCCATCATATATGACAAAGAAGTAAATCCCCCACCCCCAAGTTGTGCAGCAAACAGACTGCCGCCTACAACATATTAATGCATACGCCAGTGCTCTCAGATCATGGGCTTAATAAGAGATATGAATGGCATTCAATCACATAGCTTAGCAGCCAGAATACAACCCTAGCAGTGTGTCACAACCCAAGGATAATAAACAATTTTATATCAATACTACAATTGCGCCTCTATCAGAAACTAGATGCACTCGGCTATATGAATCCTCAATATCCATCGCGCACCATTTGGTTTCCAGTACTAAATAATTTGTCTATTAAGGAAATAATTTACATCATAAACTACACAAAAATGAAGTTTGTATTTTTGAACCCCGAGTTCATCACATTCTGCAACAATGTTGAAAGATGAGAGGAAAAATTGCAATCAAGCGCTATTTATTCGTCATGTTCCCAGAAAAGCAAGCTTATTTCAAGAAGAGTAAAGATGTACCTATTATGATGCTCCTTCGGAATTGATGGCAAGACCTCATTTGCTCTGTCCCAGTCATCACGCATCACAAGTGTCTTGTACTCGATCAAGCTGAGCAGTAAAGTATATCCCACAACACTGTAATGGAAAGCCAATGGGCTCATGTGTCAAAGAATCATAACTGAAATAAGTTCCAGAACCATATAGAAAAGTTGCCACAAGCATACTCACTTGAACTCTTTGTCAACCAGGAAAACCCTACTTTGATTAGCAAGATATCCCAGCAAGTACATAGGTCGGTCTAAGTGAAACATTGTGGTAACCTACAGATTATAGAACACACTGTTACTCATCTGTATGAGAAGAGACATTCGGCAAACAAATAGGTGAGCAAAACTGCGTGAATGAACTTTCTTACCTCACCGCCTACACAGTAGTTCAGCCTCGAAGAAGAATTATTGTAAATGAAACAATCTCCAACCCAAATTCCAGTCCTGACCCGTTCATTTATCTCATAAAGAAGTTCAAAAGCTTCTTCAACACCTTGGTCATCTACAGATCTTCCACTATCTAAATGTGCAGAAACAATATCGCGCTGCAGGTTTAATATCAAAGGTACGATCAGAAAAATAGTTCACAAAGAAAAGAAAAGAAAATAATTCAAAAATTGCTGAAAGGGAGCTCTCACATTGTATTTAAGTATGTAAAATGAAGAATCACTTGCAATAGCCACCAGATCACCACTGTCAGCCCAATAGAGGTTCTGAAGTAGTTGAAGCAGAAAATGCAAATGACATTGTAACAACCGTTAAAAGAGTAAAAGGATCACCCTAGTACATGCAGAAGTCAAGCTTATATATCTTACTTTGACATTAACATCAATTCTTCGTATCAACCTGCACTCAGTCCAATCGTAGAAACAAATGAAATCATTTGAGCACATTGCCAATAAAGTACCCCCATAGATGTGCTCAGCAGAGAAAGTGGGCCGGATGCTCTTCTTCTCCTGGAGACATCAACATAATCACTTTTAGGCCAGATGGTGAATAAAAGAAACTATAACCCAAGTCCCAATGCACCCTTCAGTTTCAGGACAAAGAGAAGCTAAATGCATTTTACAGAGCTACAACTTATCGCATGCACATGAACTTAAATTTACTTGTCAGGCCCTCAAAGAAGCAAGGGGTTCACTAAAAACAGGGTTTGGAATAGGAGAAAGAGAAGGAGATTGAGGGAGAGAGGGGTTAGCATCTAATTGGAGTACATTATTTAAAGTAATGTATCATTAGATCAGTAATAGGCAATGTGATGCACAAAAGAAATTTAATTTGGGCGGGAGGCGTTAGGAGGACAATCATGAACCTGGAAATTTTTGCTGAAAATCTTAATCCTTGAAGTACTTTCTCTCACAGCATATTCTCCATCAGAAGACCAAACAATTTCCAGGGCTTGGCCAAATGACCTATTTCTCCAGGCCAGAGCAGTATATATGATGTACTCTCCGTCTCCACAAACAACGACAAACCTTCCGTTTGGATTATGCTTTAAACTCTGTGAACAAGGGGAAATAGAATGAGATCAACAGGAAGTGACCACTGGTGACTATATCCTCTAAACTTAAGAGGGCAGATAGAAATTGCAACTAGTACATTCTAGCATACCCCTTTAAACCATGAGAAGATGATTACAAAACTAATGAAACAACACATCTTTAAGGACATAAGGAAAGCAAAGAACCAGGTACAGAGACCATATCTTTCTGGATAAGCATAACTAATACAAAATGGCATTCCATCATGAAAATCTAGACACTGAATAAAGCAAGATCAGCAATCAGACTAAGAGTATATGAATTGCTCTTTTGACGGAAAGAGTAAGAGTCTTTTAATAGGACAAGCATTACAGTATATGAGACCCAAACAGGATGATCACATGAATAACCATTGAACTATTGAACGAGATCCAATTCGCTGTTGCAAAACAGGTTATACAAGATTACACTAAAATGCTTGGTTTCAGCAGCGAATCTGACTCACTTGTGGGTATAGGTCACAGGTTCCCAATTCCTTGACAGCCAAAGGCAATCGTTCTCCCTCAGTAACCTGAAGTAAAGCAAACAAACAGTCCATAAAATAAATTCAGTAGCAATTGAGTCAGGTGACCATAAAACAATATTCAGCAGTAATTTGAGTCAGGCAAGCAAACATAGAGGCAATTTCATGTCATACCTCGTAATCTGCCCCCACACTCTTGATGTTAACAGTTTGAATCTCATTGTGCTTAGCCCATATGACTTTTCCACTATTATCCATGCTAACAACAGGTACCTCTCGACCAAGTTTTACCATAATGGTTCCCTCATCATAGCCAATTACAACCCTGTATATTTAGCATATGAATCATAACTGCAGTTATCTGAATGAATGCAAATAGAAAGCACTAAGCAGAAGATGAAATCCTGATCTACTTCTTAGCTCATATATTTTCCTAAATTTCACATATTTTGTATTTGTTAATCTCACAAGTCCCTAACATTGACCTTTAAAAAACAAAAAAAAATGCTAGGTAGAAAGAATATAAATAATTGAAAAGCAAAGTAAATGTGGAGACTAAACTGGTTGACGTCAAAACAGAACAAAATTATAGCTATAAATCAATTATAGAAACTCACCTTCTTGAACCTTTCATGTAGCCAATAGCCCAAACTCTTTCAAGTCCATAATTCAACGTGTTCTCAAGTCTGCATGAAATACAAATGAAAAGAAAAAATCAAGAAATAAGGCCCAAGATTTACAAGAGAATACAAGGAGTCAGAACCAGAGGAGTGTTTACACATGTGAAGGATATATTTCATCAGTTTATCTTAGGTAAAACTACAGAAATGTATCAGTTTTTATCAGAAATAATTCAACACTCTGTAGAGTCTGCCAGAAAATGAAGGTGAACAAAAAGATCAAGAACTAAAACCCTAAGACCTAAAAAAGAATACAAGGAATCAGAACTAGAACTAGAACCAGAAGGGTGCACACAAAGAGTGAGTGATAACCATTTTCGAAAATGAAAGTCACCAAAAGACGAGATGCACTGCTTTTTAAGCGGTAAAAAGTTTTTCCAACAGATAAGTTCATCTTTTGAAAAAGAATTCTAGAAAATCATCAGTTTTCAAGGGTTAATTGATTAGTTTGATCTCAGAAGGAAAAATGAAAAGCAAAACGAACCACTAAAATAGCACTATAGAGCCTCAACCATGTTAGATGTTTAGCCCATTAATATGAACAAACAATAAAAATAGTTCATCTCTAATGCAAAAGAGGACTTCAAAAACTAAGTGCTCGTATCAATTATCTCCAGCAGCATGTATGGATGATATTCATGCAACTTGATGCAAAAAGTTCAATGAGGATATATTCATCCCACAATGTCAAAACCCCAAATTACATTCCTATGTTTTACCTAAGATGAGATTTGAAGAGGAAATATGAGAGTAAGTACAATGTTTTCTTATTAGGAATTAAAAAGAGAAAATAGACATAATTCTGTAACTTGTGTCATGTTATCTGTTGCAAAGAGATTCTTTTGAGAAAAAGGGACACATTTGCATATAAAATTAAAATGGAAATGGACATACAATTTGAACTAAGGGAGTAGTGTGTACCCTTGAATCCCCCCCCTTTTTTTTTACAAGAGGCAATATTTCAACAGTGGGAACACATTGTGCCACTATAAAAAATGTATCTCTCGACAAAGCGATGGCAGAGCTTGATGGGGAAAAAAAAGGTAAAGCATGTGCTGTTTACCCATCAATAACTTTACATAGGTCATCACTGTAAATCAATCAAAGAATTCACATTGACTGATTTATGCAACTAACAAAAGAAACCCTTTACAAATTATGCTAACATATGCGTTTATCCGCATAATTGGTGTCTATTAAATTAAGGAAACAATGTATTGGAAAGTAAGAAGTGTGTCAAAACATGAACCATCTTATCTAATGGTAAATAAAAACTAGACATAAGCTGCAATGAATAAGTAATTCTGAGTATTACCTGTAAGTAGTTGCATGCCATATACGAACAGTACCATCTTCTGACCCCGTGATTATAATAGGAAGATCTGGATGAAAACATACAGCAGAGACGTTGTGTGTGTGACCTTCAAGAGTCTGGACACAACTTTTCGTCTGATAGTCCCAGACCTGTTCCGTGATCCAGAGCATATAATTCAGTTTTTATATGGGTACTATCAACAACAGAACATAGAAATAGGTTATCGAAGCAAACCTTAGCAGTATGATCATCGGAACCAGTAATTAGATATGGTTTATCACCACCAGTGAAATAGTCAACACAATTAACCCCTTTCAAATGGGCATCCAGCGTGAAGTTAGGATCAGGAGAGCCAAGGTTCCAAATCTAGAAGCCAAGAATTTCCAGCCCAAATGTCACATAGGTGAATAACATATATGATGTATTTATATTTATCCCAGGAGGAAGGGGACGAGAGGAAGAAGAAAAAAGGTTACCTTTATAGTCCGATCAAGAGATGCACTAGCAAAAGTATTGGTGTCTTTAGGATTAAATGTGACTTGCATCACATAATGGGAATGACCCTCAAAAATTTGAGTGCATAACCATCCCTTCTCCCAGTCCCAGAGCTTTATAAGCATGTCGTCAGATGATGACAGCACATATGGTAGAGTAGGGTGAACAGCCACACACCTAATATAATCTGTGTGCGCCTCAAATACTTTGACCTTATCCATGGTATTATAATTGTATACACGAATAAACATGTCATCGGCACCAGCAACAATCCACTGCTTGCGTGCTATAAATTTCGCTGATCTAACTGTAAAGAATAATTGAGGTGTTAAAAAGAAATGCAAAACTTTGTTACAGTAAAAGGTTGCTTATGCACACCCTAACCAACCAAAAGTACCATTTTGATTCTATTAACGGACCTGGTAATTCAGTGACTTCGAAAGATTGTGCCATTGTCTGCAGTAAATAACGAATCACGCATCAGCATTTTATCAATAAAGCTATTACAATGTAACTTCTGCTCTATTAGGACTTAGGGTAATGCTAATACAATTGCTTTTTCATACTAAACTAAGAAGTAGATTTGCACATAGTGAAGAAGAGCTGTGTCTCATATGACTAAATGGTATGCTAATATGTAGAGATACTACTGATATTGACTTGAAGCTACTGTAATATAAGGATATCAGTGGTGGAAAATTACTATTACGGGCAGTTCTGGCTACCAATTTTACAGGTATAATTAACAGCTCCTAAAATGTGGCTATGTTAGATATTATCCCAAAGGACAAGCGCAAATAAGAGGAAATGGTACGCCATAAGAAAACGAAAGACATGCCTACATACAGGGCAAATCAAATGATGAGCTCAATAGTAATCTTGGATTTTTCAAAATAACCAACAAATTTGGGAGCTACAACTATCAACTTGTCTTTAGGTACAAATTGTTGGATATTTGCATACTGACATCTTCACATGATCAGACCTGAAGCTACCAGCATAAATTGATCTGCTTCGCAAGCATCATCAACCACTCCTTGACGAATCAACACCAACAAGATCATAATAATCAAATGTTCTGGCTCAAGGACTTATTCATCTTTGCATGGCCAGACACCAGGAAAAGAGTGCTTCTAAGCCCAATCCCCCCCCCCCCCC